ACGAGAACGAGAACGAGAACGAGAACGAGAACGAGAACGAGAACGAGAACGAGAAATAGAGAAGAAGTAGCAATTAGATGAACTTTTAACAAATAATGTAATTAACAAAGTGTATGTCATTGTACTAGTGATTCGAAAAATATAGATAGTGAATGATGTTTTCACATGTTTGTTTGGCATGCAGGTCGATTCTATGACAAGGATGGACAAAAAAGAAACTGGTGGACAAATAATTCACTACAAGAATTCAGTAAACGATCAAAATGCTACGAAAAGCAATACTCCGAGTACAAGATAAAAGGAAAATGGCCTGTAAGAATTAATTCAAGAGAATACAAACGAGCTTTGCCTAATCTTTAAACAAATATGTGTTTTGATATCTATGTTGGAACTAACGATTACATCTTATGCTATCCAGATCAACGGAAAGAATACAGCTGAAGAGAATGTTGCAGACAGCGGTGGTTTAAAAATAGCACTCAAGGTACTATAAATGCGTTTGTTTATTTAAAAAAAAACGAGATAAGGTGACGCAATAGGACACGCGTTCGTTGATGGGGTTTGGGGACCATTGAAGGCGAATAAATACGTACTTTCCTCCATCCACATTTTTTTTTCACCAACAATCCAAAACCCGCCTGTAAAATATTGCAGACCATAACATCTACAGCTGAAAAACTACATTTTTAGCCAAAAAAAATATACATGAACAAAATTATCGATGCTGATTGGCTAAGAGCAGTGCTGTTTCAAAGCAACACGGTGCAGAAAAAAGGAAATTCAGAGCAGAAAAAAGAAAATACATGCACAGTGAAAATTTTAATGCAATTTTTTTGTGGGTTTTCTAAGAGCTCAAATTGCACCCGCCTACGACTCGTGTAATTTCGAACTCAAAAACTCATTTTCAAATTTATTCCAAAATGCAATTGTAGGAAAAAGTTGAAGAACACTTTTACCCCCTAAATTGATTTTTTTTTTCAGAGTTTTGTTCGTGCACGTTTGTAATCAGTAGATAAATTATTTCAGGCGTATTACAACTGGGTAGAGCGAAATCCCAGTGAAACATGGCGGCTACAAGGCCTAAATCACACTAATGAACAGTTGTTCTACATTGGATTTGCTCAGGTTAGTATTATTTGTTACCCTTTGTCCTACGCCCCCCCCCCACCCCCTCCTGTTTTTGTACGCATGCTTCTGCTTTTTTCACTAAGAATCATAGGCGTTTGATATGGGTAGAAGAATACCCTAGGAGTCGTATACCCTAGGAGTCGTCAATGGCTCCTTGCTTGAGTGTTTCTTTGCTGTGTCCTGTCCTGGCAACCATGGTA